TGAGTGCATCTGTGCTCCTGAATTAGCCTCTCCTGTCTTCCTCCTCTCCCTCCTCCTCCCCCTGCTCTTCTCCCTGCTCCTCTCCCTCTGCTCCTCTTTGAGGCAGCAGCAAAGACTAGTTGTAGCTCTCAACAAGTTTTAAAAGTGTATCTTACCTTTTTTCACCTAGTTAACATTAACTTTTTTTATTCATGCATTTTCACTTAATCACTCCCCCCTCAAATGGAAATATGTGTTTACATAAATGGTGACCAAACCGTTTGAGACCCACTGAGAACTTAGACTAAGTGAACTATCTAAACTCAGAGAGTCCTTGACCTTTACCTCACCTGAGCTGTAGTTATTCCGAGCTTGAATGACACACAGAGACCAATCGAGGGCTCTGATGTATGATCTGTATGACAGTGGCCATGTTGGCAGGCCACATCATGTAGACAGCCAGTCACCCTGTGTGAGGCAGACCCACATTTGTGCAGCGTTGCATTGCAATATACTTTGGCGGCCGTTAATATACCTGGGCGGCCCGCCCAAGTAAAGTCTGGGAAACCCTGGTTTATTTTCGATTATTTTGCTCTTTTCTCAGTTTGTTTGTTTTTTTTGTCCATTTTTTCTTCAGTTGACATGTGTAAAACTTTAATTTGCACGTGTTTTAAAATAAAGCATCTGCTCAGTATTTTTGAGTTTATATTCTCCTTCAACCAACACCGGGCCAAGTTCTACATATATCTGAATACAACGGAGAGATATTGGAATAAACCATAAAGCTTCAAACTCAGAACAACTAGAAAAGTGCTGAAACATTCCCTTCAAACATGCAAGACAATTGTAAGTGCTGCTGCATAGGTTGAACTCTCAAGGGATGATATTATTTTTTTGGACAAGCAAATCAGGTGGCTCTTCAGTCTGCGACGGAAGATGTGTAGACTGTCCTTATATCAGTGGGAGGCTCCTTCCACCATTTGGGAGCCAGGATAGCAAAAAGGCGTGTCTTAGTTGAGGTGTGCCTGGGTCCACTCCACATAAAACGGGTTCTCAATTATGGAAATAAAGCTTGTAGTCTTCCCACCTTGTAGGGATTGCTTTGGCACTGATGATAATGCATTATGTGGTTTCTTTATATACTTTATG